CGATCCAAATTTCGAAAATGTTAAAGCTTTAGAGAAATATAGAAAAATTCAAAAAATGAAATCACAACATCGAACTTACTTGGATTGGGGGGCGGTAAGCCAGGTATAAAACCTTGCTGAGCCTGTTGAGCATTGTTGGAGGCTGGCGGCTGAGTCGGCGGATGATGCTGAATCGTTTGATTCATTTCACCGTCCACGTCCATTGCAGATCCAACCGCGGCCGCGGCTGCCGCGGCAGCAGTTCCACCGCCGCCAACCGTGTACTCATCCTTGACGAGTCTACCGCCAGGGCCCACACCCACGCCGGATTGCAGAGTCAGTCCGGACAGGTCTGTAAAGAACGGGTCTGTGCGGGGGAAACCAACCATTCCATCAAAACACCAAGAAGACCACAACGATAAATGATTTGCTCTCTAGCATTCTGTATTCGTTAACCCCAGGATGCACGGTTTACTTTTACCTCGCTGGACGATTAAAATAAAAAAATGATTCGCAATTTGTACTTAATCGAGTTTTTGAAATAAAATAAAATAAAATATAGAATAAAAATAAAAATAAGAAAAATAACGTGGAAGGAAAGGAAAAAGTAACTATGCACGTGTGAGACACAAATACGAAAAGAACTTAAAAATAAAATGTAAATGCGAGATTACACGTTATAACATACCTATTCCAGGTGATACCACTCGCTCGTAATGATAAGGATTTACGCAAACCGAGTCGCATTTTAAATCAAAAGCGAACTGGCAATATTTCACGTGTTTTAGTTCGTTCTTGTGTAAATCTGGCCATCTCCAGATACGGGCATAAATGACATGCGGAAAACCTTTGCGTCCAGCTACTTGCAATCTACCATCCAAAGTCCTTTGAATGGTTACGCATTTACTAGGATGTGCGCCGTTTGTGGTAATTGCAGTGATCAAGCTGTCCAGTTCGTCACGTTTTTCCTGTTAATTAAATTTTAATTAATCCTTGCAATTATTAAAATGTAACAAAAAATCGGTAAAAATTGCGAATTGCAAAAACAAAATTTTTAGAATATACATATATGTTATCTTTGAATATTGCATGTTACAATGTTAACAATACAAATATATATAAAATTTACTTTTAACTTTTTCACCAATGACTCAATCGCGCGTTTACTGAAGCCTTCACTTTCACCACCCTGACGATGACACATAAGTGAATGCACAATACTCAAGCAGGCATCAGCACTGGTTGGTGCACTAGGTGCGATCCCAGTCATCTCTCTCACTGCATTTAAAATTGCATAAAATATATAAATAACTTATGATGATAACAATAAAATTTTATATTTTTTTAATGTCTTAGAATTTTTAAGAGTATTATTTTCAAATCAAACTAAAGCTGCCGAAACATAACAAGCTTTGGAATTCAGAATTTTTTACATATTTTTCAGATAATGTAAAATAAATCTTAAAATAATTAAAATCATTAAAGTATTTTTAATATATTCATTAAATATTCAATAATTTATTAGCCATTAAATAGATTTACTAATATAAATAAATAAAAATATGATTCACAAGTAATATAACAAATATTAAAATATTTACACTCTGGATTCGACTGCATAGGGGGCGAGGGATATAAATGACCTCCCCCGCCCGCCAATCCAACCATCTCTGTGAAAGCCGTGGTGGACACTGTCGTGTTCCTTGCTTCAAATCACTGGCTTTTTCTTTGGACTTGATGCAGTCCAATCTTTCACACTTTATCATCTAGTGACAATATTTCATCCATGGGCCACAATAAGTCCTGTAAATAATACTAATTAAATTTTTTATTGTATATTTCTTAATATTGATAATTTAAATTCTGGTTGCAATATAAATAAAGGCAACAATTACTGTATTCTGCCACAATATTATTGGAAAATGTTTAGTAATATTTACTTAATACAAGCAGATATCTTTCAATCATATTACTTAAAATACTATTAATTACTTGCTCTTAATGGATTTTTGATGATTATTAACAATTGTTAAAGTAATATCATAAGACCTGTCTTTGTTTATTTAACACTAGCAGTGGCACTTCAATCTTATCATTTGATCTACAAATAAAACTTATAAAAAACTCAAAATTGTTTACATTAATCAGTATACCAAAATATTCGAAGTCAAATTTACATTCGAGCAGAAGAATGAGGGATGCCGAAGACGCAGCAATGCGGGGACGAGTTTACGATGTATCTGGGAAACATGTACAAGACATCGGAAGAAACGTGAATCACGTACAGCAGCGAAGACTCCGTTGCGTCGAGTGGAACGCTTCTACGAATTTCGACAGCGATGGATGACGTGCGTTGACAGTTGCGCGCGGGGAGACGCTCGTGTGCGATGTTCGAGATTTAGCGTCTTCGTCGTCGAGCGTATATGTGAAGCCCGCGGCGCGGTCCGCAACGACGCAAGCGATGACGATGTCGCGCGTGTTACTTCTTACTCGCGATTGATCACCGGGTAATGACGCGCGCGGCAGACAAGCAGTACTCTGTGGATTTCGCGACGAATCGTCAAGCGTTGCTCCGTCGCATAGGTTAGTGCATCAATAATACATATCCGCGGGGCGCGGATAATGTCGCAGCACGCAGTACAGCCAAACCTTCGCGATAAAATAACGATCATTACTAGTCATTTCAAAGTTAATTCAGTGAGCTATGTAAAGCCTGGATCAGACTGTGCAACTTGTTGCAGCAATTTGCAAGTAATCTATAATAAATTACTAGAAATGCTGTGTGCTGTATGGTACATTTTTAGTAGTTTACTAGATCACTTGTAAATTGCTGTAATAGTTTGCATAGTCTGATCGAGGCTTAATAGTAGTTTACATGAATTTTCGCGATCATTGATGGCAGCACTGCTAATATATCTTACATCTCATTGGATGTTACAAAGTAGACCAACGGAGATGAAGTAAGCAGGGATTTGTAAGTGTAATATAAGTAATGATTAAAAATAGCTAACAAATCTATGCGTCATAAATGCATGTTCTACATTTAAAATAAAATAGATGTTATTTTTATTTTCGCTAGAAGAAAAAATATAGTATGTCACGTGTCTTTCTGTTTCACAATACATTTTATAACCGGGGGTGTAACTCAGTGGTAGAGTGTCTGCTTCGCATGCTGAAAGTCCTGGGTTCAAATCCCAGCTCCTCCAACTCATCTTTTTTTGCCTGTCATATATGTAACATTTATTTTTTTGTTTATATTTTATTTAATTTATTATATATCTGCTTAATTAAAAAAATTTTTTAGTATTGCATAAACAACTAAAAAAGCGTGTACGGTTAAACGCGTTATATGATTATTGCGTAATTGCTGAGTTCGTTAAGCGTTCTTGATGTCGTGGTTCATTCACAATCGAAGCGTTTTTCTTGCTATTTCTAATCGATGCTCGTCGCTTTATATTTCGTTGCGGGCTGCAGTTTCGAATTCGCGCGCTTTATACATATTCGCGCTATTCACTTATCTGACAAGTGGCACGACTGTCATTCAGTAGCTGCAGCATTTAAGACGCTCTGCATGTTCGCGCCTTTTTTGTGCATTCGGATGAAATCCGCGTACGCGACTGAGCGTCGGTAGTACCGAATCTAGCGACAGGCGATCGTCTCAGAATATTATTCGCCTTACGTGATCGGGATCAGTGCGTTTTTTGACCGGCGTTTATTGCTTCGCGTTTCGCCGCTAGACGCGGCTTACTGGAATCCATGTATTTCGCGCTATTTCGTTCGTTCGTTCGATGAGCATCGCGAGTGGTATCTGTCATCTCTAATAACGAAAAACAACAGAAACATTCAAGAGAATAATGGGAGCATCGAGGAGCAACGAGAAAATAACGAGAATATTTATGGAAACATTATTGGAAGCATCAAGGGATCGCCGGCATCGCAACAGGTAGTACTGCTTGATATATCCAATTCGTCATCAGTGATGTCAGAATAGACGAGGCTCCATGTACAATCGCTACGCAGGCGCTCTCTGCTCAGCGTTTATATGCAGTTCTTGATAGTCCGCGTGTGAACCCCGTCTACTTGCTGGCGTCTCTATTCGCCATGACATTTCTCGTTCATTTCCGTCCAGTTCGCGTGAGATATCGTAGTCGTAGTTGCGGTCGCTCCGTGTTCTGTGTTTTTTTGCCTATCCCGAGTAAATTCCGTGTACGATCGAGTATTCAGGAATGCCGAATTCAACGACGAGCAATCGTCTGTGAGTATTAATCGGTCCGCGCAATCGCGATGAGCGCGTTTTTCGGTGTTCATAATCGGAGCTCGTTGCTTCTCGTTTCGCCATGACGCGATTTCCCGGAATCTGTGTATTTCGTGTGAATCTCACACTATTCGGTCATCCGACGAGCCTCATTATCTACAACATTGGGGACAACATCGCTAGGAGCATCTGTGGTAGCATTGATAGGAGGAGCATCGAGGGGATCATCGAGGGGATCATCGCGATGGATTCGAGGCGACGTACGTTGCTTGAGATATTGAGAAATCATGACCACCATGACATTTTTCAAATCTTCAACAACGAACAATTGGCGCCCATTTCTTGTACTTGATGGTAATTCGTTCGGATGGTAAATTCACGCATCTACTTTATTCACGCAGAACAAGTTTTATTTATTATTGAGTGTCGATAATGTCAAATAACTTTCGCGTCCGAATTTTTATTTTGTTCCATAATGTGTCGTGTGAATCGGGAGTGCCGAATCATTTGACGGGCGATTATTTTAGTATTAATTAATCCGCGCGATTGTGTATTTTTTTTCAATATTCGCGAGTGATATCGGTCGCGTTTCGATGGATCGTCGTCCGTCGAACGAATTCCCGCGTTTCGCGTTGTTCGCGTCGAGTGTGTTAGTGCATCGAAAAAATGTGCATAGTAATCGTGAGTGCAAAGTAATCGCGAGTGTATCGAAGAGGAGAACAAGAGGAATGTCGTCGTGAGGAGACAGGGAATTGTTGTCCATCTACAATGTTCGACTGACGAGGATACAGGGAATTGCTGTTCATCTACAATATTCGGCTAACGGTGAGTGTTCATACACGCTTACATTTGCAATCAGTACAATCTATTAAATATGTTTTTTTAAAGAAATAACTATTATTATAATATGTTCTTATAATATAATATTTAAGAAATAAATATTTAGAATTTATATATAATTTTTGATGCTTACGCGTGATCTTCAAGTAACATAAATTTGACGTAATTGCGAAATTTTCGGTGACTTCTCTTTCTCCAAGAAATGTAATATATTTTTTAGAACTGCAAAATAAATAAAAATTTATTTAGATACATTAATTCTATATTAAATACATTAGATTTGCGAGAATAAATTATTTCGCTTTCGATTTTGTTAAAGTAGCAACTGCGCGTTTAATACTTTCGCTATTTTTAATATTTCTATTATTTTTGCATTACCTTTTTTATCTTCGGAATCCATAAACATATGAACGATGGAAAACCGATTCAATCGGCTTAAAGAGTATAATAGGTTTACGAGCAACTCTGTGTCTTTTGATGTACAGAATTGTTGCTCCAAGCAACGCAATATAAGACTGAACATTGCTGCATCCAATTTATTGCCTATAACTATAGATTAAAATTCTTTTCATGTTATGTTTTTTTATCAAATAACTATTTGTTAAATACAAAACCTAAATAATTGTTTTCCGAACCACTTAATTTATAAAATATTAAGAACCAAATATTAAAATAACGGCACAGACTAGCGATTATTTAATTACGAATGCAAATAATATTCAAATATTAATTCTGATGTATTACTTACTTTTTTCTATATCTTCGCGTGCTATACATCGCAAAAGTTTCGCGTGTAACTTCAAGTTATCATTGTTCTTTAAGGATTGCCACAAACGTATAAATTCGTAAGGAGATTCGATGTTCTTCAGTTTCTAAAAAAAATTAATTAATTAACAAATTAGTTAAGAGTATAAAATATTTTCTTCATACATTTTTAATATTTAATCTATTCCAAAACTTTAAATTGTACCTGAAGATCCATTTCCAATTTTTCGTTTTCTTTTCGATTCTCGTTAACTGTGTGAATCTTATTCAATGTTGTATTCGTTTTCGTTTTATTTTTTTTCCCAGGAGAAGCTACGTTTTTATTCTTCTCGACATCCGATTTTTTTGTTGATATGTCATCTTCCTCTTTTTTCAATCTAGTCTCTTTTTTCATTTCCATGCTTGTTTCGTTAGAATAGCGAATTTTTCCTCGTTTTTCACATTCGTTAGCTGTTTGAACTTTGTTCGGCGTTAAATCCGGTTTAGTTTTATTTTCCTTTTTAGGGGAGATTAATTCCTTATTTTACTTGCATATGATTTTTTTAGTGGTGTATTTTTCTCTTCTTTCAGACTCTTCGGTTCTTTGCACGTTTCGTCACTCGGTAGTTCTTCGATAATAACTGTGGAAGGTTTTGTCTTATGAGGTGATGATATGCATGAAAAAATAGACTTTTTTAGGCTGCCTTCTACGTCACGTGATCTGAAAAATGAGTCGTGAGAAATCGTGAAAATGTCATCACTTCTGATAATATCTGGCAATTTTGATGTTTTATTTTTGCTGCCGAAATCTTTTGCAACAGGTGATAATTTATTGTCGCTCGCAGAATCTCGTGCTGTTCTTCCCTTGCTTTTATTGGACGCGGCATCCGCCGCTGGTGCTGCTTTGTTGCTCTCGGTTTCCACGCAGTAACTCGTTTTTATGTGCGGCATCGTCGCAACACTTCGCGAAGAGCCTGGCGCTCTGTCGCAATAACATATATCGCTGTTAACACGCCGTTTCGGACACTCAGTGCTGTTCGTTTTCACGATTCTCTCCAATTTCATTCGCTCGGCCTTGTCTTCGCTGTCGTTGATATTTTCGATCTTCATTCTGCGCAAATGTAGTCTTAGCAACTTAACGACAGCAAATATAATTGCTATCTTTATAAATTGTCATAAACATATTTGTAAACGTATTACAGTATCTCGACCCTGATTTTTATTATTTTAAATTTACTCGATAATTTAAATAAATAATGAATTAGAAAATTAAATTCTCACCTTATTTTTCTCGATTCACGTGATTTTCTCAGCTTGTTCACACCGGATATTGCTGTTTTGTTAGTTGGTTCCAATTTTAAAACAGATTCATAATCGGCCAATGCCTATATATAAAATTACACATCAGTTAATTATGTTGAATTACGAAATATTATTTATGAAGAATGCAAATAAAAATTTCCTTTTAATTAAAGTCTTTCTTAAGTGCTTCACTTTTTAAGTAGTTAATCATATTTTGTGCAATTTTATTTTTAGTTTAATTAATTTTATTATAATTTTTATTATAATTTTATTATATTTTTATTAAAACTTATTGAAGTCGAAGCAATAGAGTTCTTTATATTTATTCTCTGTCATAAAATCTTTGTCATAAAATATTTATATATCTTAGTGAATATGCGCTGTTATAAATTGATGCAAATATTCATATTTATAATTTTTATACCTCGTGCGTATTTTCAAGATGCTCCAAGGATAATGCCCGGCGAAGAAGCGCTTTGACATTTCTGTAATCCATGCTAAGTACCGTATTGCAGTCATTAAGCGCGTCCTCGTAACGCTGCAGTTTAATAACTGAACATATATTGACTCACAATCAGTGGAACCTTGTTATACAATACAGAGCTAACAGATATTTTAATATAAACTTTAAATTAGAATTAGAAAATATTTCTTATTGATTTCTCTATATTTCGCATTATTTTTCCTAATGTGAACTTTAATGTTTCAGTTTAATTTTCTGGTAATTTTTTATTATCTATTAAGTTATAAGAAGTATTTTGTTAAAAAAATTGCAAGAATTATAGATGATGCATTTTTTTATCACACAATTGCATATAGTTATTGATTTGTTAAAAAAGTCTTTTTACTTACACGTCATAGCGCGATTATTATAAGCATTTAGATTTGAGTCAATCTCGATGCTAGCATTGTAATGTCGAAGAGCTTCCTCGTAATCAGCCGCTCTGAAGGCTTCATTTCCCTTTTCTCTTTCTTGGGCTGCCATTACGTTCACTTCCGTACTGGTTAATGAACCTAATAATAGATTCAAAGATTTAGTGCTAATATTCTATTAAAATCAATGGAAGACTGAATTCTATGCAGATTGATAACATTACACAGAGAATATTATGTAGATTTTGATAATTTTGTTAACAGCTATCGTGGCTTCAAAAAATTATTTCACAAGCTTACGTTTATCCACTGTTGTTTTATGTGCTGTCTTATTCGTTTCATCCAGCTTCTTTCGCCGATCTTGGATTCTCTTCATTTCGGCCTGTCGCTGCTCATCCTGCAGATCTATTCTGTTTATCTCTGTATCGGCATCGTATTTATCCCAAGCTGCATAGTCGCATGACGATATTCGTTTGGGTTTATTGCGCTTCTTTCCGTTGACGCTCGTTTTTTTATCCTGAAAATATAATTCGCCAATTATGGACAAGTCTATATCACATTTCATTACAACTCAATTATGTATTAATCGATAATTATTCATGAATTCTTTAACCTTGTGACAATAAATTAATTAATACAAAAATATACAATAAAATATGAATTTCCGTGAGCAAGAACCACTGATATTTCAATGAAATATATATTTGTGTACTTTAAATATTAAATTGACATACTTTTACAATATTCGGTTTAATCTTCCGAATCTCCGGCTGTGAATAGGAGTCGTTGATAAGGGTGGTTTTTCCTTCATCTAGTTCCTTTTCGCGAGTTTGCATCTCGCACATCCAATTGCTTATGTCGTCGTCAATTTCCTGTCGTTCATCCGCATTTAGCATACTTCGCCTCAAAACTGGCTCCGCCTTTCTCAAAACGACGCTCGTAGGTTTAATCCTAGCGAGACGTTCCTCGGCATGCCTCGTCAAATCTGGATATGTTCCTTCTTCGCCAGAACTGGTATTAAACCGCACGCAGAGATGTTTATGACGAATCGTTAATAAACGTGCCGGAAAATAACGGGTTTAATCACATTTTAAGCAGCAAGGTTGCAAATCTCGCGGACGATTAGCACACAGATTAAAAAATTATGTACTGTAATTATCACAACGTAGTAAGCATTAGCGGAGAAATATGCAAAATAGTAAGCACTCGGATGAAATATTTCGCTATGATTTACTCGGATCAAAATTTCTAACACGTCAGAATAGAAGATAAAATAGCAGCATTAGCATAAGTAAAAAATTCTTTATTTCTCTAAATTTATGAGATTTTAGAGAATTCACTGCAAGAAATTTATGATGAATCGTTAATAATCATTAATAAACATGCCGGAAAATAACAGGTTTAATGATGTTTCGAGTAACAAGGTTGCAAATCTCATCCGTCGATTAACACAAAGATTTAAAAATTAGTGTGTATTATAATTATCATAATATACCGAGGATTAGCAAAAAGATATAGGAATAAATAATAGGAAGCATTAAGATGAAATTAATATTTTGCATAAAGAGAAGTTTTGTGAGAAACCGATCTTAAAAATCTAATCAACAGATTGAAAAAAAAGTTTTCAGTGCCAAGACACAAATATTAGCATACGTGTGAGATTTATGTTTCTAAATTTACTGCGTTTCAAAGAACTCACCGCAAGATAAGAACGATTCGCTCCAATGTTTTTCCATCGGTGCACTGCGATATAAATTCGTACGAGAGATGGCCGACTGGTATGTTGTACCGCTCGAGCAAACTTTTCTTCTCGGGTTTCTGCGCGACGCTAATTATATCTACCTCCTCGTTGCCCATGATAATGCGAATGCGGGGAAACGATCCGAAGATTACCACCGTAAACCATGTACAGGTTACCTTCGTCGCTTTATAGACTCGGCGGAGACAACGGTTGAATAGCGGTTGAATATAGCAATCGAACCGGATTTGTTGGATCTCCGCAAGCGTATATCCCAATCACACGCAATTACTACTTGACGGTTGTCCCTGCTGACGCGATCTCTGATGCGTTGCTCGGTTACGCGGTTGTTGATTTTCTACGTCATTCGCTCTTCGTTCCAACGATCGATAGTACCTGAAATGTAACTCATTCGTTATTCTAAAAAACGCAAGATTGAAAAGAAGAAAGAAAAGAAGAGAAGAAGAAGCATTGTTATAAAAAATATGTACTTATAAAAATGCAAACAGTAAAAAATGAGCCTTGTTTAGATTTTTATAATAATAGAAAATAGTTTCAAATTTCTTTCTTATCGATACTGCATATATTTTGCATCTCTGAATCCTTAAAGCTCTTATAATATACAATACTGAGAAATTGCATAATTTATTCACTACATTTCCGCGAAGAGAGGTCGTATTGCAAAGAATTTACCCGCGTAATACATTCTGAAGGAAGATAAATTCGCGTTTCCACCTTCGTGGACGCCGCATCTCGCATCCCCGCGCGCAACATCGTTGCATACGCGAGAGTAGCGTCTTCTTTTTTCGCCTTTTCAGCCTCCACCTCTCGCGAAACACGCGCTCGTACACCGGCGCTCGGTCCGCGCGCACGTTTACCTGTTAACACGGCAGTCGGCTTGTAGCTCGCCGTAACGCAACTCGCAGCAGTACGCGACGGACGAAGGAAGCGTGCGGTTGTTGTCGTCGTCGTCGTGGTTGTCGTCATCGGGTCGCTGTCGTGCCGGTCTCCAGTGAGCGAGCGCAGCCAAGTGCATATTAGACGAGGCGGCCGCGAGCGCCGCACATTCGCCGGCGAGCGCTCGCTGTGAACAGTGAGCGTGTGCGAGAGGCCGCGCATTTTACTCTCTCTCTCTCTCGCGCGTTCGTTCTCCTCCCGTCACAAGTGTACGCTCCGTGTGATGCACTGCTCCGAAATCCGTGCCGAAAGCATGCGAGCGTCTCGTAATTTTCTTCCCGGAAGTCCACGCTCCTCTCGCGCGCGACCGGCTTTGAAGTTGCATCTGTGCGCGCTCTAATAATTGTGCACTTCTCGGTAGTCGGCGTCGTCGAACTTGTTAAAGTGCGAACTCTGATCGGCAAGTCGGGACACGGAGTCTCGAGTATCGATGATGTGTTCCCGGAATTACAAATCGAATTGAGCAGTGCGTGGACGCGTCGTAAGAGAGAATTCAACACTCGTTGTGCAAACTGAACTCTAAACATTTACTCCGGCTTGATGTGTTATGATAACCGAGTCACGATTGGCGAGTCGTAGTTGATTTTTTTTTGTTTGCTGAATTTTGCTCGCCAGGTTCGACTTGTGCAAGTGCGATCATTGTGTGACAGCAGGTAAATTATTCCGTTGAGAAAAAAATTCGCCAAGAGGTTTCAGACCGCCTTTATCAAAGATTAAAGACCATTGATTGAACTTTGAAGACAATCACGAAAGTTAATTTTCTTATTAAAGCGTGTTGAAAATTAATGAATCCAATATTGCCGGCGTGCAATTTGCTGAAGTGTCTTGGTGAAAGAACGCTCAACTAGAAATGTATTATTTAATCCACGGGTTGTCGGCCTTCCTCGATACACAATCGATGCTGTCCGCGGTTGCTGTTAATCGACAGAATTAATTTATAACAAAAAAAAAATACGGACATGTTAATTGAAACCGCACGCGTGTAAATGCGTATAGATTTCAACGTAGATAAAGAATCGATTTTTCCAGCGTTGATTAATAATTAATTGCCTCTCCGTCAGGATCGTTGTATTCTCGCTGTAATATAGATGCTAATTAGTGATTCAATTGATTACGATTGCCGTCAATCTGTGAAGAGAATCGGAGCAGACTGATAGAATCTTGGGAAGATACAATTGTTGCGCAGGAGAAAATCAGTTTCGTTAAATAAACAATCGGCACATCTGCGCATCATCTAGTATTTGCGCGTCGCGAAACTGGCTACGTGAAGAAACCGATATGCGGTTTCCAATTACGTTCTTCTATCGCGAGCAACGAGTCGATTTCCACTTCACGGTAGCTGACGCGTAAAAACGCCTGCGACAACAAGCTGAAATTCAAATAGATAAGAACGAAATAGAACGCTCAACCGATCACACGTCGTGACTGCAAAATATTCATTGAATTAATTAATCGAAATTATTTTCCACCTTGGAAATGTCTCGTCACTTGACAAACATAATTTCGTTTCATTTAACGTTATATAATGCGATTTTACTTAATTGGATTTTGGCATTATTTAAACTAATTTGATTTGATTTATTTTATTTTAAGAATCAGATGTGGAACGACTTGAAAAACAGGGCAGGATTATTCTATAAATAATTCTCGAAAAAAAAAGAAAAAAATTTGCATGGAGATGTTTTTAAAAAGCCATCAATAATTTCATATTTGTTGTCGCTCGTTGAAAACGCTGAATCGCGATTTATTCAGTATCAATAAACACTTATATCATTTGACGTAAGACCACGTATCATCACATCGGCAAATCCTGCTTACATTCACCAAATTTATGTGACTGAAAATTTCTGGTTTTTTGTTTTAATGTCTCACTTTTTCATTTACTTATTTATTTTGATGCCTCACGTCTCATAATCGCTAAAAATCACCAAGTTATTTTCTCAGCAGTTACGTTATGAATCCGAGTGTGAATTTATTATCTAAATTTATGATTTAAGGCGAAATGTGTGTTCGATTCGCATTTAATTTAATTCAGCACATTTTACGGTCGCGCATTGTTGTCCAATATCGTGACGAGTTTCGCGATAAGGTCGTGTTACAAGCATCTCGCGTGAATAACTTTTGTCGCAGTGCGCCCAGCGAGATAATGAGATTTAATACGCGATACGGAGCGCGTTATCTAATCTGGGTATCATTTAAAGCGTGGCAGAGGGAGAACGAGAAATAAGTGACGATTTTGCGATTTCCGATAAAAAGATTTGGAGATTTTTCTCTTGAGCATTTTTTATTATCCCGAGTGCTAATTATTTCCCCGCTCTTTCCCGTCCTTCCGTTACATCTATTACTTCGCTATTACGTTAATTGTTTCTTCATTATGTCAATTATCCCCCCCGCTACGTTAATTGCTCCTCGCCTTTTCTCTCAATAATTACTTTCCAATAATTATGTTATTTGCTTATTTTCCACGTTAATTACTGTTTAGACTTTTAGACTTTTAGTTTTCATTAAATGTTACGCGTTTCTTTCTGTTTTAACGTACCGATAAAAAGTATCAACTAAACTGTAACCTTTTAGGAGAGTCATTTATCAAAGTTTCTTTTTAAAAGTTCTTATGGATTACAATCACGTGCAGAGAGAAAAGATATCAAATATTCTAGACGGCAAACGGCAGCTGCGCACCGAATTCTTCTTTTAATTAAACTCACCGTGCTTCGCAAATGTTAAAATTAGCCCGCGACATTCAGAAAAACGTCCGTACAACAAAACAAAAGCTCGTACGTCGCCGCGGGGGATGAGTGCATCTTACTTTTTTCACAGTCGTCGTCCGTCGTCGTCACTGCGCGCGCGAACGGACGAGCGAGCGAGCGAGCGAGCGAGCGGGAACGCGTGCGAGTCGAATGCGTGCGCCGGTGTGTGTGCATGCGTGCGTGCCTGTCTTTTTTTCGTAATCGCCGACGTGTCGGCGGCGCCAAGCTAGAAGACGCGGAGGAAGGCCGACGACCCGTTATAAATGGAACCAGAGAGACGGCATTTCTCGAATCGCTGCTTGTGTTGTTATTCGCAGCGCAGCGCCGCAGCCAAGCGAGCACGTACGAAAAAGTCATCCTCGCTTCCGAGGTGCGAACGAGGGAACCAGCGCTGTAATTCCGAAACGCGAGCGGGCTATTGAATCCGATGTAATCGACGGGATGAAGGAGACCAGCGGTAGGAAACGGAAATCCAGGAGAAACCGGAGTAGAAGGGGACAATTCTAGAGTTCCGATAAAGAGCAGCTGGCAGGCGGTTTAATTAGCACGCGAAGTCGTGAGGTATTGACACTCCGTATCGAGAGACGGGGAATTAACGGTTGCCGATCAGTTGAAATCCTCGGCTTTCACTTGTGAAAATAAATATCACAAGTGGCATTATTATTAGCCTTTTGAAAATTCTCTAAGCGAAGGGAGGCAATATATCGGCCGACCGATATATCGCTCGGTGTGAATTATCGAATAGTTGCAGCTGAGCACAAAGCTCTTCTGAAACAAAGGTTCTCCTATGAGAATCTCGTCGCTGGAGAACGAAAGAAAAACGAGAGAAAAACAAACTGCGCGTCACCTTCAAAATACTCGGAAATCGCGATAAGATAGCGACGGCCGTTCGTCGCAAATAAACAGTTGCCTTACGGCGCGCTCTCGACGAGTCGCGATTCCTGGACGAAGGACGCGCGATCACGGCGACCGACTGCACCGAGCTGCGAGTTTCAAAGTGGATCACCGACGCGGGATTTCACAAGATCGACGTGTCGTCTAAAAAAGGCCGGCTGTGTGTTACTCAACGCGCGCTTTATCGCGCCATTAAGGATCGCGCGGGGAAGAACCGCTCGTCGAACGTGCCGAGCCGAACTCGTAATCGCGATTACGTACGTTCATCACGCCAGTGAATCGACGCGGCTGTCTATACGTCGACCAGCTCGCCGCCTCTTCGAAGTCGCCGGGAATCAACAGGAATCGACGCTACCATTAATAGCTTTCTGAGTATCTGAATAGCAACAACTTCGGCCGACGATTGACTGATAATTGAATACCTGGTCTCTCGGAGTAAAGTAGCGAGAGTGAGAAGAAAGCGTTAAATATCCTCACATGTCAAAGACTCTGTATTTTCTACCGATGCTTTTTGTAACTTTTCTTGCGTGTCCGGGAGAAGCCGGCAGTAGTCGATCGGCGCAACAATTAAATAGACACCGTCGCGGCGCGAGAAAGACGAAAAACGGATCCAAATACCGTTCATGTTATTAAGGACGAAATTTTATAGTGCGCATCGGAAATTAATTAGTGATATCAATATAATTCGCCGTAATAACATTGCCGTGGAATTAAACGGCGATGAATCGAGCTGACGGTTGATCGGTCAGCACAGTTAATCCCGTATTTAATTTCGTGAGTGTGTTCGCAATTGTCGCGAGTGCTCAAGAAGAAGGACATCGGGCCTTTCTTCGCGCGTGTGCATATATGTATGCACGCACGAGTAGGTCAATGTCCTGACGAGGACCTGGATGTGAGTGCGGCGGTTAAAGTGCAGAGTGATGTAATTGGCGCATCCGTCGCAGAGGCGATTTGTGATGCCAGCCCGAATGATACTTAATTCACGCAGCTGATGACAAACGTAAACAGGATCAAGGTGGTCGTCCTCGGCGGCCCCAGAGTCGGCAAGTCAGGTGAATCTCCCTAAATTCCACGTCATTATTAGGAATAATTTCTCGTTCGTTTTCGTTGATTCCGTTATCTGTGTCATCTGCAAAATTTCAATGATAAAATTATCAATATATTAATTTTAATTATTTTAGTAATTAATTGCAATTATCGAAACAATTAAATTCCGCAACAGACTTATTTGCTTAAAAAGAAAGAAATTAGAATCAAATTATGCAATGCTTTGCTGCATTTTGGGATTTGCAATGCAGAAAAAAGCTTAGCGCTGTTGATTTCGCGTAAAATTAAACTGCAATAAAACGGATTGCAGAATAGGTTCGTCGATATTGATCTCCGCGAGATTCCGAGACATTCCGTTTTTAGCATTGTCCTATCGAGATTGATATTAATTCACGCGCTCGCCGCGCGAATAATAACTAATGCGCGATGGAAAAAAAATTGCAAGTCGATTATGGCGCAACGGCGTGAAATATTGAATCACGTCGGAAGGACGTTCATTATGGCGGGCGATACTAATATCGCGTCGCCGTGCAGCGTGTAATTTCTGCGCGTTGTCTAATAGCGCACCGACGCAACGCATTGAATGAAAGTGCCGTTAAGATGGATACGCATAGTCCGCGGAATAATACGTTGCATTAGTTAACCCGACAGTCGCGCGACGCATACAAAG